GGGGGGGGGGGTGCAATGCAGAGCCTCCTGCCAACTTCTCCTGCCCATTCCCCCACCTGGCCTGATTTCCAGCCTCCCCCATTCATGTCACCCTGCCATCAAGGGGGCCAGGGACAGACACGGAGAGACCAGGGCTGAGACCACAGGAGCTCAGGAAGAGACCTCGCCGAACCATGGGGGTCAGGGAGCTGTACCCTGAGGAGAGGAGGAGAGGGGAAGGGGCTCCTGGCAAAGGGGATGGCCAAAGCAAGGTCAGAGGCAGGAGGGGGCCTGCAGGGCGTCTGTCCAGGGAACGGACAGGGCTGCCCCGAGGTGAGGTGGGGTGCAGATGGCACAGTCTTACGGGGCCTTCTTGTTCCCAGGACTCTGACACAGGAGGACCCAGGGGACAATCAGATCACGCTGGAGGAGATCACTCAGATGGTGAGCCAGGCCTGTCCTTCCCTGGCTGGCTGCCCCCCCACCCGACCTCCGAAATTAGCACAGTCACCCCTGCCCAGATCTTGCCCTGCCCCCCACTGAGGGCAGCACTGTGAGGCTGGTGCCCAGAACCCACCCTCGCTGCTCCAGCTGTACAGACACTGGCTTCTTACAGACTGACCCTGGGAGAAGGAGATCCCCTTGTTGAAGTGTCCGGGGCCAACGCCAGGAGGTGGCGCTCGCGGGACTAACTCAGACTTTGCTCCCCTCAGGCCGCTGGTGTGAAGGCCGAGCCCTTTGAGAGCCACTCGGCTCTGGAGATCGCGGAGCAGCTGACCCTGCTGGACCACCTTGTCTTCAAAAAGATCCCTTACGAGTGAGTGGGTGCGGGTGCCCAGCCCTCCCCCAACCCCACTGCAGAAAGTCACTCCCCTAAAAGTGACACCCTGGAAAGCAAAAGGCCTCCTAACCGCCTGTGCCCTGGGCATCCCCCTCTTTCCTGCAGGGAGTTCTTCGGACAAGGCTGGATGAAACTGGAAAAAAACGAGAGGACCCCGTACATCATGAAAACCACGAAGCATTTCAACGACGTGAGTCTGGGGTGGGGGGCGGGGGTGCCTTTCTCTCCCGGGTTTTTCCTTGGCAGGACACCTGAGGCACCGGGTGGAGAGGAACACAGCTGCCAGGGACCTCTCCAGCCCCCACCCCCTCTCTGGGGACCTTGGCTGTTGCTTTGTCTCAGCCTCAGTTTCTCCCCCAGTGAAAGGGGGCCGACCCCAGGAGGGCGCTGCTTCCAGGTGAGTCTGCAGGAACAAGGACCCCTTGCTGTGTATCTCGTTATCGGAAACAAGTACATTTGGTTGGAAAGTGCCAGACAACTTCCGTCTGATACGTATGTTACCCAGGAGCCCCTGAAGCTTTGGCCAGGAGTCCCCACGCTCCTGAAGCGACGCTCTCACTCCCCTTCCTGCCTTGGCTTGTGGGTAGGACGGCCCCAAGGGGACAACACAAGCGACTGAGGCCACTGAGCTGGTGAAAGCAAGGCTGGGTCTGAGCCGAGGGCTCGTGTGGGTCCCTAGCAGGGACCAGGATGGACCAGCATCTGGCTCCTGCAGCCCCTCTTCCTCCGGGACTAGCAGCAGCAGGAAGGGTAGACTCACTGATGAGGGGGCACTAGGATGGGGGGTGTCACAGACAGCCGCTCCCGGAGCCAGCCTCAGGGAAATGTGGGAGTAGCAGAGAGTGGGGGCCCCGGTGGCGCCAAGTCGTCTGGGGAGAGATGCACATCATGGGAAACAGCCACTTTCTCTCTGGTCTTGAACACAAATCATACCCGCCCCGTGGCTGAGTTCCTGCCTCATGCTCAGCACTGGGCTTTACTGCAACTCATTCAGACCCCACACCAACCCCAAAAGATGGGGGCTGGTCCCATGTTAGGGAAACCAGGGCTCCGAGGGGCAGATGCCTGAGGCATTTCAGGTCCTGTCTGAGAGCACAAGGCCCCCCAATGCTGCACAGCCCCGGCGGCTGTGAGAAAAAATTGTCCCAGAAACTTCCCCACATTTGCCCAAGCTCCAAACCCTGGGACCTCGCCTGTCCACTCCAGCCTCGTGACAGCCCGTTTCACCCCTGGACAGAACAAGAGAGACCCAGGTATTGCCGTGCGGGGAGGAGCCCCACAGTCACAGCGGTGGCAGAAGGGAGGGCCACACTTACTAGTAGGAGTGAGGCCCCAGGACACACGCGTGAGGCCCGAGTCTGACCACATCCTGCCATCTCTCCCCTCCACGTACTGCTTTCGAAAGATAGCATCTCTCCATTTCCATTTGGGAATCTGATCTTTTTCTACAGTATTCAAACCTTTTATAACCTTTGGTAACCATTTGTGTATTTTTTCATATACCATCCTACATAAATCCTAGGTCATTTCTAGATTCCTGCTGGTATTTCAAAACTAAACCTTTTCAATGGTGTTTTCTAATTGGTGTTCCGATTAGAACAAACTTTTTATTTCTGTATATTGAGTCCTTCACCAGCATTCTTTCGGGATTTTTCAGACAGGTGATCATACTGTCTGCAAATAATTGTGATCTGTCATCTTTATCATACTTATTCCTCTTATCTTTTTTCTTATCTTATTGCATGGGCTTAAAGATCAGTAACTTGATTGCTTCCGAAATCATCCGGAATGAAGACATCAACGCGAGGGTGAGCACCATCGAGAAGTGGGTGGCAGTGGCGGACATCTGCCGCTGCTTGCACAACTACAATGCTGTGCTGGAGATCACCTCGTCCATGAACCGAAGCGCCATCTTCCGGCTGAAAAAGACATGGCTCAAAGTCTCCAAGCAGGTGTGGGCAGGAAGCTGGCACCGTCGCCTGCTGGGGATGGGGCTGGGGCTGGGGCTGGGAGTCCAGAGCGCTGGACACTGGGCAGCCGTTTGGTGGACAAAGGACAGGGTGAGAGGCCTAGCACTCCCGGGTACAACACAGAGAACCTCTTCTCCTGTATCACCTGGGACCAGGTGTCAGGCCCACAGATGTGGCACTGGGACTCGTGGGTCTGTAATTCCCACTTGAAGAATTAATACCCCAAAGTGGGAAGTATAAGGTAGTCTTTATGGGTCCCCAGCCCAGACCTGCAGGTTGCTGAGATGGTGCTCAGGTGATCCAGCAAGCCCCTCCCCAGGAACTCTGATCTAGCCGAACCTCTGTCCACCAGAGCACTAGCTGGTCCCTGTTACCCATCGGGCAGTTGGTGATCTTAAATGGGGACCTGATCTTTATTCATTCAAAATGTGATTCTGAAGGACCATAGGAACGTTCTGCCTAGAGACTAAGGTTCCCTGCGCCGGGGTCCTGAGGGGGCAGTTCCGAAAGGAGGGCCCCGTGGGGGATGTGGGTCACATCCTTGGCACACCCGGTTGGTTCCCCAACCACAGCCAGCTTGTGTCCAGGAGGCTGGATGGGCACCACCAGAGGACAGGGCCAGCTTCCAAGGCCCCAGTGACTTTTTTGCCATATATATATATATATTTTAAACATTTATAAAATTGTTTTTGTTTTTCTTGATTTCAGAGAGAGGAAGGGAGAGGGAGAAACAGAAACATAAATGATGAGAATCATCCTTTGGATGCCTCTTGCACGCCCCCTGCTGGGGATCGAGCCCGCCACCTGGGCATGTGCCCTGACCGGGAATCAAACCCTGACCTCCTGGTTCATGGGTCAGCACTCAACCACTGAACCGCATCGGCCAGGCTGCCATCTTTTTTCTTGATTCCTAAATTTGGGTGATGTCCTGATATAGAAAAGTAAAGGTGTGAGAAGGCAGTCACATCCTTTGGGTGGCTCATGAGAAAGATCATGATCCCGAAACACCCTCCACTCTCTATGCTCTGGGTGTCAGCCCCCAGGGGTGACCCACCGGGTCCTCCTCAACCGCCGGGTCTCGGGGTCCCAACATGCAGGGCCCCACGCCCCACTTCTGCGTTTGTGGAGGGCATGTGCATGAGCACAGGCACCGGACACGAGGATCCTCGGGAGTTTGGGGTCAAGGTTCCTAGACCCAGGAAGGTGCCCAAGTCCACCCACCTGCAGGGGGCAAAGCGGACGTGGTTCGGGTTCTGGAGCCGTGGAGGCAGGTGCGTGGAGTGTGGGCCGACGCCGTGGGCCCCCGTGAGTGCCGCGTGCTAGTAAACGCTTCTAATTCCTTCTAGACAAAAGCTTTGATTGATAAGCTCCAAAAGCTTGTGTCATCAGAGGGCAGATTTAAGAATCTGAGAGAAGCTCTGAAAAAGTAAGTGTGTGTCATTCTGTCACCGTTATTTCGTTAGCGTGTCGAACTGCACTGCGGCGGCATTCACAACCCCCGTCTGGCTGTGGAGCAGGAGGTCTGTCTGTCTGTGTGTCCATCTGTCAAGCCACAAGACCCCCCCCCCCAGATGTCCCAGATCCCCCGGGGGCGGGTCAGCTTTGTCTCCCATCTCGGTGGCAGTTCCTGGGACAGGCCCTAGGAGCTGTGATAATAGCAGCTGTGCCTGATTCCTTGATTCTAAGATGCACGTTTTAGGGGTTTTTTTTACATTTTAATATTTCTGACACTGGGATGTGTCTTAAAGCCGATGTGTCTATTTAGTAGGAGTGTGTTTACTTCATGTGCTTGGGAATTGGGCATCAGAAGTGCCTTTATAGACGATGGCATCTTAGAATCAAAGAAACTCTATTTGACCCATAACTGCCCCTCGGTCCCCAGAGCGCTCCCCCTTCCCCAGCGCATGCAGTGCCTGTCAGGCAGCTTGTCACTTAGACCAGGCAGTTCCTTGTCATGGGGCCGTCCTGTGCACCGTAGGGCATTTAGCAGTCGGCCTGGCCCCCACCCACGAGATGCCAGTGACCCTGCCCTGAGTGACAATAACCACAAGTGTCAGAACATTGCCAAACGCCCCCTGGGAGGCAAACCTGCCCCGGTAGAGAACCACCAGTGGGACGGGTCCGCCCTCCAGTGTCTCCAGACAAGGAACTTAGGGTTCATGTACGGCCATGAGGACAGCCAGCCTCAGCCCAGGCTCCCCTGAGGCCAGAGCTCTGCTGGGCCTGAGGGTCAGGGCAGCAGCGGCCGGGCCCCTTGGCGCACACTGTGGCCACAGTCACAAGAAACAAGTTTGCCGTCCCTCCCGTTACACATGCACTCAGGTTTCCACACTAGTGTCCACAGCGCCCCCCGTGGGCCCCTGAGCACGCGCCCGCTCCCCCTGGCTGGCTGCTGGCTGGGCCATGGACAGACAGGGGGAGACCCTGAATCCTGGACGCCTCTCCTGTCCTCCCGGGGATCCCTGGGTGCCTGTGGGTACAGGGCCCCTAAGCGCAGCACTCCCGGGGCCTGGTGACAGGACCTTCGGCATTGGGCCCGGAACAGTGGTTCTGACGCCCCCACCTCCCGCCAGCCTCGCTGGTCCCTCCTGTTCCCCTGCCTCCCTGGTGTGCCCCCGCCAGCTCCGTGTCCATCGCCTGACCATCCCCATGTTGTGTCCCCCGACAGCGTTGCCCCCATGTGTGCTGCACGGCCGTCTCTCCCCCACCGGGCTCCCGGAGCCCCGTGGACTGTGCTTGTGGGCAGCTGCCCCTCCGTGCATTCGCCAACTGTCTGTCCGCCCCCGGGGGCGCCTCCATCCGCCTCCTTCACATGGCTTCCCGGTCCCGTGCCGCTCGAACCGCCGCCTCCACGGCCTCCGTGGCCCCATTCTGTCTGAGCCCCCATCCTGGATGCCCTCCCTCTCTAAGGTCGCCCGCGGGCCCGTGTCAGTGCCTCTCCCAGACGCCTCTGTCCCTGCCAAGCGGGACGCAGGGGGCCAGTGGGCACAGACGGGTTCTCGCCTCCTGGAGACTTGGGGCTGGCCCTGCGGAGAAGGGCGAGGTTGGGGCCACCGGGGCGCCACAGAGCGTGTGCCCTGGGAGCACTGGCATCTGCCTCACCAGGCGGGGCAGCGGGCAGAGGGCGTGGGGGGCAACCTGTGGGCCCAGACAGGGAGCTGCGATGGGCCTCCCCGAGTGGGTCCTGGGCCCCACTCCTTGACCCACCCCCTTTTCAGCCTTTCATTAGAATATTCAGTCTTATGCCAGGATCCGGACTAGTGAATGGTCTTGCTACCTTACCAGCCAAGACTGCACCCCGAGCCTTCCCTCCCTTCCCCCAGCCTGTCTTCTAAATGCCCCCTTCAGCCCTCCACCCCAGTACCCGAGAGGGACTGCACGTCCCCTTCTCCCTCCCCAAGCCACACTCATGGGACACCCACAACACTGTCCCCCTTTCAGCCTCCCAGAGATCAGAACCTTCCCGGGGTCCCTGCAACAAAATTCGGCCAAGAGCGAAATTTGGCCGTAAAATGTGGTCGCCGGCTGGCTCTTTTGGGGTCGGTTCCGGTTCTGTCTGCATCTCATTTCAACCCAGAAAACGTTCGCACATCTGCACTTTTTTTAGTTTAAATAGGAAATGGAGAGGCTGCGACTGCAGCTGCCGCAAGGAAAGCCTTCGCCCCGTGTCCCCGAAATTAAGGAGGGGATCAGCTGTGGAGGAGAGGCCTGCTGACCACCGGGCCAACCCCTTGCACCCTCAGCCAGTCTCCTGCTAAACTAGACAACACAGCAGCTAGTGTCCGGGTGGCAAAAACAGGACAGGACTCTGAGCCCCTCCTCCCCCTTTTCCCACCTCGTCACATTTTTTATATTTTTCAAAATCTGAGCACCTGATTTTCTCACAGCGCGTGCCGGAACCTTGTGCCCTGGCCGCAGGGGTCCCAGCCCGCACCACCCAGCCCCAGGTGCCCACGGGGACTTGCAAGAGACAGCGGTGTGTCCGCAGCTGGGGCGGGCCAGGGGGAGGAGAGGAGAGAGAATGGACAGGGGGTGCCTGCTTGTCCCCAGTTCCCGGGTTTGCAGGGGAGCTGGTCAGGTGACTGCATCTACCTTTCAGCCATGGTACTAGCTGCTCTCTAGTCTCCCAGCAGGAACTCCTCAGTAGAGAGAAAATCAAGTTTGGGGGCTCCAAACAGCACAGGTGAGGCCCAATGCTGGGGGTCCCAGGCACTGCCCCCCAAAGCAGAGCAAATTCTTGAATGGGGTGGGAGCTTCTCTCTGCTTCCTAAGACGTCAGGTACAGGCATGTGCGGGGGCTGCCAGGAGAGGAACCCGCCCCTATCGGCTCTGTGAGATGGGCCCTAACCCCGGGCTGGGCCCCCCCGGAGCGGGGTCAAGTGCCCACAGTGAGCGTCCGAGCNAGGCACTGCCCCCCAAAGCAGAGCAAATTCTTGAATGGGGTGGGAGCTTTTCTCTGCTTCCTAAGACGTCAGGTACAGGCATGTGCGGGGGCTGCCAAGAGAGGAACCCCCCCCTTATCGGCTCTGTGAGATGGGCCCTAACCTCTGTGAGGCTGGGCCCCCCCGGAGCGGGGTCAAGTGCCCACAGTGAGCGTCTGAGCCAGCAGATGGGTACACTGCTTGCAGGAAACCCTCAGAGGCTCAGCACGAGTCTGGTGGCCTTTAGGGGCCATCTGACAGGCCACTGCCAGGGGAACCCCACACATTTATCAGCGTGGCTCTGGGTTTGGCTCTGGGTGTGTGTGTTGAGGGTGCTGTTCCCTAGGCCCCTCCTGGGAAGGTGGTGAACAGGGACAGACTTGGGGACTGGGGCTGGCCGTCCACCTAAGGGGACTGAGCTGCAAACAGCTGGATTGTGAGCCTCAGCACACAGCTCAGGAAAAACCCCCAAAGTGACTGGAGGACCCTCAGGTGTTTTCACTGGTCCGGGTGGTGAGAGACGCTGTAAGGTCTCCAGGGAGCCCTCAGGGTGACTAGTTGCCGCCTCCCACAGGGATAGCAGAGGGTGGGGGGCACCTGCGGTCGCCCCCTCCAGCTGCAGGTTGCTGCTGAGATGTGTGAGCTGTTTCTCCATCGGATCCGCATGCCTCGTGCCTGCATGAGTAGGACGGGAAGTGGGCGTGGGCGGGTGACTGTCCAGGGCTGCGTGGGGCAGGAGGACCGGAGTGTCCTCCCAAGGCCAGTATGACCCTTTCTTTTATTTATGTCACAGCCCACAGTGAAATAATCACGTGACAGTGTGGCCCTGTATACAAATGTGCATGTGTGTGACAAAAATCTACAAAGCAATACATACCTGTGGTCCAAGCGACCAACTCAGATATTTTCTACTTCTTTTGTAAAAAAGAAATTTTTTTTTAATCTGTCCACACCCACTACATTGATTTCAACACCCATGAAAGGGTCAAGACCTAGAATTTTAAAAGCTCTCCCGCCCAAGGCTCCTCCCTTCGCACAAATTGGACGTAACCAACCCTACTTGTGTTTATTTCACAGTCTCCTTTAAATGAACTCACTTTCCCCCCAAAATAAATGTAAGTGGGAAGGAAAAATGCTATATCATGAAAGTAACTGGGAAACCAGCCTGTTGTTCTCCATAAATACAACATTAATAGTAAACAAATACAGTAAAAACAAACTGTTGTCCAATTCTGGCCCGATCCTGATGTTTGCAACATTCTGGTCCTCGGACCTGCTGCTATTTGTTTAAAAAGGAAAAAAAAGCGAGAGAGGCGAATGGCTAAGTGCTAGAAAGTGTGGAAGCCAGACCGGCACCAATGCGAGGTCCCCTTGAGCATGGGCCAGAGTGACAATCCGGCGTTTCTACTGTAGGAACCAGTGTTATTTAATCGCGTGTGGGCACCGCCTAAAACCGACTCTCAGAGCACCGAAAACTGTCATAGCATCAGTTCTGTTGTGCGAGGGAAAGAGCTGGCCCCGGGTCACACAGCAAGCGAGTGACCAGCTTTCTGATCTTGCTCGGCAGCTGTCCTCCCTGCCTCGCCCGCCTCTGGACATGCAGGATGGCCGAGGGGCCACAAGGAGACAGAGGCGGGGTGGGCTAGAAACCAGGGGCCACCTGCATCTGTGTGCTGAGCCGAGAGGAGGCTGCCGAGCACTGTGTGAGGAGTCCCCTGAGGGAGCTGGGTGCACCCATCACAGAATCAGCCCCTTCCTAGCTCCCCACCGAGAGGCACCAGGACAAGTCTCGAGGGAGCAGTAACGGGCCTGTCACTCACAGCTCCATCTCCCCAAAATGCCATCCCCATAGAGGTACCAGTCATGGAAGCTGCCCCCCAGCAACCACTTCCAGAGGGCAGGGTTTCCAGCTCTGGCACCCACCCTAGTGCGGGGCGGCAGGAGGTCTCGGCGGGGCACAAGTTAAAGACACCCCACGGGGCAGGAAGAGACAGGCAGGAATGGGGTGGGGGCTGCAAAGCCCTCGGGACGTGATTCCGGGGTCAGGTGTGGGTGGAGAGTGTCCGTGGACAGACAGAGAAGAAGGGGGGGGTGTCTTGTGTGCTCAGAGGGGCTCCTGTTTTTAAGTGAAAACTTCTGTTCATGCTGTTTGCTTCCAAGTTGCGACCCACCGTGTGTCCCTTACCTGGGGATGTACCTCACCGACCTGGCCTTCATTGAAGAGGGGACCCCCAATTACACGGAGGACGGCCTGGTCAACTTCTCCAAGATGAGAATGGTGCGTTTCCCATGGCAAAGCAGGGCAGGGGCTCCCCGAACCCAGACCCCAGGCCCCAGACTCGGGCCCACCAGGTAGGACGCACCCGTTGAGGCGCCTGGATCCGGCTTCTAGGGGGTGAGAGCCGTGGCTCTGGGTAACAAGCAGTTGGCATCTGGCCTCTGAGCCAGCCCTCCTGCCCTTCCTCCTGTAACGCCCCCCATCTGAGCTGCAGGTGGGCTTGGGATCTTCCACCTTAAGGATGGGCACCCCGAGGCTGGAGGGCCCATGAGCGGCCTGGGTTAACCCTCAGTAAAGGGCAGAGCTGGGACAGGAGCCCTGGCTGCCCGAGTCCAAAGGCCACGCATTTATTCACCTCCTGTCCCCTCCTGTCCACGCGAATGCACGCTTTCTGTGGCCGCACCTCCCGAGCGAGTAGGTTTCAAATGTCCCGAGAAACCTGGGGCCTGGAGGGGAGAGGAGCACCCCAGAGCAGGGAGCCTGCGGCTCCCCATCCCTTCTCCCCTCCTCCCTTCACCAGGTAGCCTCTGTTTGCATCAGGCTCCCACCTGAGGCCTTTTGTTTGGTATTTAAATGTGCTTTTTATTGATTTTAGAGAAAGGAAGGGAGAGGGAGAGAGAGAGAGAGAAACATCAATGATGAGAGAGAGTCATTGACCGGGTGCCTCCTGCACACCCCCTACTGGGGATCGAGCCCACAACCCGGGCATGTGCCCTGACCGGGAACCGAACCCTGACCTCCTGGTTCATGAGTAAACACTCAACCACTGAGCCACACCAGCTGGGCTGAGGTTCTCTTTAATAGGAAGGGTCTTTCTGTCAGACACGGGCTGGGAGCCTGCACACGGTAAGCACCTAGGGTGCAAGGCAGATGCCTCTGACCTTTGCTGATGAGTCAGGGAATCAGGATCCTGCCTGCGGCCTTGGCCGTGGGTGCCCTTCTGTCCTGTGGAGTGGGAAGTGGCCCTGAGAGAGGAACCTGTCTTCATCGAGACCTCCGCTTCCTTCCCACAGATATCCCACATTATCCGAGAGATTCGCCAGTTTCAACAAACCGCCTACAAAATAGACCACCAAGCGAAGGTACGCCGGGCACCCCGCTTTTGCACCCGTGTGCTCTGTCTGGATGTCCCCCTTTCCCTCCTTCCCCTCCACACCCACCGCTTTTCGCCTCACGGCACATGAACGAATTACTAAAATTCTGCGGCACACCAAAAAATCTGCCAGTCTAACAAAAAATAGGTATAATTTTTATTTGTTCACACCAGGCTGATGTTGTATTGGCTGTTGTCATTTTTTTATTTGAAATTCTAAGGGAAAAGTGATCAGTGCCCCTGACTAAATAGTCAGGTATTGCAGGGGGGTTTTTTTGTTTGTTTTGTTTTGTTTCATTAAACCTCACCTGAGGATATTTTTTCCATTGATTTTTAGAGAGAGTGGAAGGGAGGGAGGGATGGGGAGAGAGAGAGAGAGAGAAACATCGATGTGAGAGACTCATCAATTGGTTGCCTCCTGCACACACCCTGACTGGGGTTTGGGATCGAACCTGCAACCCAGGTACATGCCCCTGACCAGAATTGAACCCACGACCCTTGGGTGCACAGGTCAATGCTCCTAACCACTGAGCCACACCATCCAGGGCTAGTATTGCATGTTTGAAAAATTCTCACAGCACCCAGGTTGAAAATCGCTGGCCTAACCAACCGGGCCTCTTCTTCCTTGCTGTTCATTTGTTCTGTCATTCAGCAAATGTTCACTGAGCACCAACTATGTGCCAGGCGCTGCATCGAGCCTTGGGTCCCTTGTCCTTAAACTCTCCCTGGAGCTCCAATGTTTGGTAAAAATGAATGTCCCTGCTCTTCAGATCCTATCACTGACAGCTTCGAGGGGAGGTGTTTGCTGCCAGTCTCCCCCTAAAGCAGGACACTTGAGAGGGACATTGATCTTGAGCATGCTCACTATGAGGAACGGTCGGGAGGGTCCAGATTTATGTGCTCTGGGACAGGGCTGCTCCTGTGGAGCTACTGGTGAGGCATAAAAGATGCGTCTGCCTGGCTGGTGTGGCTCAGTGGTTGAGCGTCAACCCATGAGCCTGGAGGTCACGGTTTGATTGCCGTCAGGGCACATGCCCAGGTTGCAGGCTCCTCAATCCCCAGTAGGGGGCGTGCAGGAGGCAGATGATTGATGATTTTCTCTCTCATTGATGCGTCTCTCTCTCTCTCTCCCTATCCCTCTCCCTCTCTNTATATATATATATATATATATACATATATATATATATATATATATTTTTTTTTT